TTCGAGAACTTTAGCGAGCATGCGCGAAACGGGCCGGGGAAAACAACAAGCAGCTCATCTTCGCAGCGATTCGACAATGTGAAGTGAATTCGCTTTTATAATTTTAGTCCTGATCATTGCTTTCTTTGCTGTAATCTAGTAGTTCATGTATTTCTTTATGTACTAGAAAGTCAAACTAAATAAATTTTGCCAAGAGATCATTCTCTCTTGATTTTGCACATGTTGATATGTTAAAGTTTCGTTCATCGTGTGATTTAATTTAAACTTTAACGTACTTTCTAACAAATGAATCTTAGGCAAATGAAAGTGTAATTATTTTTTGTGTTTGGAATTCTCTTTTCATGACAGCAGTTATTACACTGCCTTCAGTTTGAGTCCTCATTCAAGTGTGTTTTGTTGCAAACAAAGAGAGAAAAATTATAGATTCCAAAAACTACACTACCCCTTGGAACAAGATTATGGTTTAAAAAAGATGGGATTAGCTAGGTTCAGAAAATAAATGTTCAAGTTTGCATGTTTTGACAAGGACCACATCTGGCTAAATAAGCTTCAAAGGGAATTTATAAAGTCAGGAAAATCGTGACATTTCTATTTTTGCCTTTTATAATTTCCTTTGGCCACTGTGGTCAGTTTTTTCCATACAGTTGCATGTAATTTTTAACATCTTTGGACATCAACCTGCCAGGTTAGTTTGTGTCTGTATATAAATGTAGTTAACGAAATCAAATCCTCTCAAATCCTCTCAACTGGATATGAAAAACACCACAGGATGCCTTGGAAAAAAAATTAAAATCATATTATTAAGATAATATATTTATTTGTAGTCAACTGAATAACAGTTGGAAACTTGTGTTGAGGCAGGCAAAACCTTTTCAGAGACCATAAACATTCACTGACTTTGCTGTTACAACAAGTGGTAAAAGGGTATTAAAATGTACTTGCACTGAAAATGGGCTTGCACTGAAAGAGAGTAGGGGTAGTAGGACACATTGTTTATTTCCCTACCCTTTTTAAGCCAAGAGACCTTATTTTACAATTCTGATTCATTTCATTTAGCATACAGAATTAAGTTACCTTTTAAACTTAGAAACATGGAAAAAAAAAACTTGGGGAAAAAAATATGGTGGTACAAAAAATGTAACTATAGACTGCTCTTCATCAACCTTCACAGCCCAAACAGACACCCTGTTCAAAACTCTAAACGGTGAAATGGTCACCACCCTAATCAGCAGCACATACCCATCTACGCCAAATAAGCCAAGGGTAGTATCGTAGAAAGAACTGCTGAGGGGATTGGGCTCAAGGGACAATACATTCTTTTGATGGTTGATAAGAAATCAATTTTACCTTGTTTGTTTTCGTTGTAATCAAATTCATAACTTGCACAAACAATTAAAATTATACATTTTTCAAGCTCCTTCTGATTCTCTTTATAAACTTTGCAAAACATTCAATTTTCTTTTTTCTGTTTCTTGTACTTCAGTCGTTTGAGGGATTTTCTCAATGCATACCCCTCTCTGATGTACTCACTCTTACTAGCAACTGGATTAGCCTCTTGACCTCACACTAAACCACTTTAATCATTTCAAGTATAATTCATAACTGCAGGGTAATTTTTGTACAAAAAATTTCAAGGAAATACTTGAAACCGAAGTCAATATCTAATACAAAACTACTAAATGGAGTATTGCTGTTGGAAATTTGTTGATCATCACTCCAATGATATTCCAGTGAAGGTTCAGTAAAACCCACCAGCCTTCTGATATTTAAAATACCTTATAATGACAGACCCAGTATATGTGAAGCAAAGAGACTGGAAAATTTACCCTTGCTTTTACTAAATTGGCCCTGTATTCTGTATTTTCGCCCATAAATATATGTTGTGGCTGCCGGTTTACAAACAAACTTACGAACAGCACAGTAGAAAATTGGTTTAATGAACATTCCCATATGACTTTTGCAAGACTCATACTAATATAGTGAGCTCGTAGCATATGTTTAGGATAAGGAAGAAAGTCCTTAATACCACTGTAGCTAAGTGGAAAAATATAGGAGATGGAGACTAGGCTGGTTGCTCGAAAATTCACGAAGCTTATAAATAATTGAACTTACCGAGATGCCGAATCATGATAAGTGTAGTCACCCATGAACTGTTCATACATCACGCCTCCTGATGTCCAAAAATTCCATTAAAAATGTTCTTGAAAACCTTTTCTTGATGTTTGGACGAGGGAAACTCAAAACCGAGCAAAAAAAAAAAGGTACTTGGTCTCACTCGGCCAGATTTCTTAACTGGGGCGATCATGTAAACTCGGTTCCATGTTCTCGATATTACCTGTGATTGTGGAAGATTGCTTGAAACTGCAGCATTATTGCCTAGACATCACTGGAAATTTTCACTTTAGATTTATAAACTGTAACGATTGAACTATAATCTTTTTCCAGGTTAAGTAGTTAAGCCTGACTATTCTATGTACCATAAGGCAGTCAGTAATTACTGTGTAACCTTATGCCTGCACACTGGCTCCTTAAGAATTAATCTCCTCCTCATTTCTTATCTTATCTCCAAACAACCTCGAGTTAACACTTTAAGAGTGTCTTGTTTTTCTTTTACACCGAGGTTACGTTGTCTTAATTAAGCTAGCAACATTTTTTCTTAAACAAGTTTTCACCTCAACCATATGCATGGCCCCATTCCATCCATCATAAATATTATTTTAACAGGTCACTGAATAAACAATAAAATGATTGTTATTTCAAGGGTGGCAGTTTTGTTTTAAAAAATGGTTTTATTTACTTATAATAAATATCCTCACAGAATGATATCCAGAACTTTGGTAAAATTACAAGATGTAAATAACTGAAGGAAGATTTTTGAGAGAACCAACCGGCATAAAGCATCTCCGACTGACGAGAAGATCATCACCATTTGATCTCAATAACTGAGTACAATCCAACAAATCGAACTAACGTTTGATCCCAGTATCAGAACCAGACCCGACTGAAAAGAGTTAATAACTTTGTCATTATGGTATAAATCATTCAATCAAAACTACAGGCTAATTAAGTTGATATTAAAGTCACGTGAGTTTTGAAGTCTTGCTAGCATCAGTTCGTATTCTCTCATTGGCTTTATCAACAGAATCTGAAAACAGGTCTCGTTTTCGAGCCTGTCTGTTATTTTCATCCTGCATTCCCAGTGCCAGTCTTCTCATATCCTGCAGAACCTGCTCCATCTCTACTGTTTCAATATCTGCTACTGACTTGGAATTCTTTGCTTTCTAAATCGAAAGTCTCCTCCAGCGGCGCTTGCATTATCGTCGTTATCTTAATGAATGACAGCAGACTCATTATTAGTTTAAACGCTATTCAAGCCGAAAGAGATGGGCCTTATCCCTTCCAACATTTGGGAAAAGAAAAGCAAAAGTATAATATCATTATTGTTATTCCATTTCCTCCTGGATTGGATGTTAGTCCGTTGCAAGGGACCCACGGGGGGGGGGGACAGGGGGAGGTCCACACCTCCCGTCTCCCCTACCTTGCAGTCCCAGCTTCCATCTCTTTTTTCTTGGCTTCCTTCCTTTAGCCCTTTTTAGATTGCAAAATATTGAGCATTGTTGCATAGTTCCCTTCCCCACTACTTCTCCAAGTTCCCACCCTTTTAGTGCACCCACCTTCGTTCCCCTTTCTCTCCCGCCCTCCGTACCAATCCGGTCCACTTCTGTCCCAGCCTGTCCCTTCCTTGTTCTCCCCCACTGCTTTGTATGAAATAACTAGGATAACTACAGTAAACTATGTCCCTCTTGATGAGATGCTTGTCTAAGATTGGTAGTTCTTACTTTAACGCATGGGTGGGGAAAGAGTTAACATAAAGCAAATTTCTGTCATTTTGAGCCATTTTGTTTTCAAAAGTACCCAAAATATTGATTACCAGCACAATGCCGATTTTTTGCTTTTGTTCTGATGTAAAATTACAGCTTTCAAAGTTCTGGTATCATCATAGTGCTCCAGCTTATACACTAAAATATTATGATCTGTGACAACCAACGCTTTTTTTAAAAAATCTATAAAAAGGCCGCGGAATTGTATTTTCGCGTCCGTCAAATCACTGTGTGACATTTTATTCAGTGACAATATCAATACTTAGGACGTACTGTGTAGAAAGGCACTATATAAAGCTCTCGAAAAGCTGTATTGTGTTCAAGAGCGTATGTCCTGTTTTTCAATAAAAGGATCAGTTAAGTCGTTTATACACATATGATTAGTTTAAGCAATATTTATATCAAGGCATGTGTTCAAAACAAGGCCCAACTCTGCGCGAGCTCTGCTTGCATTTTCGGTTACGTACTTTCCGATAAGGAGCAGACCGAGTTGATGACGAGGGAGAGAAGGAAGAATTACTGGGAAAATACCTCGATATACCTACTTAACCCTGACACCGCCCTATAACCTCATTGGCTAAATTTGCAGTACTTGGTACAGCCTGACCTAGCAAGTCACGGGAGTATCATGACTTGACATAAATTACATTATGTCTATCATAATGTCTAGTTTTTTTACGAAATATCAGACATGAGGCAGTATTTCAAGACAATATCACTTGCTCAGTGTTTGATCATGTGATGAAACACTGTTTCGAATGCTTGATATATTGTTTCAAGGAGCTATGTCGCCAAATGTTTCAGACTCTCTAAGCTTTCTCTGGTAAACCGTGGAAGGCATTGCCAAACAGTGTAAGAAACTGACATAAAACATGAAACGATAAACCGACGTCTCCCTTTGCACCACTAAGTTGATGCTACTATTGGGATGATCATCCATCAATACGGTTGGTTACGCAATCTCAGTGATGAATCAGATTTCATTTGTATATTGGACTAGCCCATCTTAATTCTGTGCACGATATAAAAGCAGCCACGACAATTTAAGGCAAGTAGCTCGGTTTGAGTCAGTCGAGTAGTTGGAGGGTCTGAATTGAGGTCGATCCTAGTTTAAGAACGATGGCAGCAACCAATAGTGCTTTCAGAACAGAAACCAGAGATGAACCTATTTATAATCACTTGGAGTTGTTTAATATGCCGTCTTCATCAATCGAAGCTCCAGCAGCAAACGATTACCAAGATTGCAGAGAGCAACAACCGACAGGAAACATCGGGAAAGGTCGGCGTATGTTCAGTGATTACAGAACAGAACCCAACAATGAACACCTTTACTGTAACATACAATCAATCAATCAACCGTCTTCACCTGCCACCGAAACCCAAGCAGCAAACCAAACCTCCCAAGATGACAGAGGAGGGCAACAACCAACAGGAAATAGTAAGACGATGGGTCGGCGTGTGTCATCTGCTATGATAGCGGTTTTGGCCTTAGCATTCCTGGCCATGCTTGGTTCATTGATAGCAACGGCGATGGTACACGTCATGAAGAGTGGAACAAACGGTAATTTTTTAGATAGATATAAAATGACTTTTAGTAACTGTAGAAGGCGTAAAGTTCGAAATCGGAGTCGAGCTTTGGCTTGCTACCGCGGTACTTAGTCGAATTTGGCTGATTTTTGATACACTCTTTTTTTTTATAAGAATGTTGTTTTTCCGGCCCAGGCTGAATATTCTTATTTTTCTGCCGATTTTAGGCTGAAAATATTCTTGTATTATTCTTAAATTATAGCTTATGACATTTCCGTTTTAGAATTTATTGGGGTATATGTACATGTATTACATGAACCGTTCATCGAACTGTCATTAGCGTTGAACATTTTGGTATAGCTAGTGCAGGTTTTTTCGTATGGTGGCTAGTTTCGCCGTTCAGAGAAGGGAATAATTTTATACGGTTAAGTTAAAAACATAAAATTGTATTGTATTTACAGATGTTTCAACAGACAAAATTATATCTATCCTTTTCAAAATCTCAGCCTCGGCTTTATTCTTAAAATATTCTTAAAATTTCGCAAATTTCAGCCTCGATATTCTTATAAAATATATTCTTATAAAAAAAAGAGTGTATATATATACTCTTGAAATGGTGTCCCAAATATTGTATTGATAGTTTTAGGTGCGAATTCTCTTTACTTTGAAAGATTTTGAGGAGTCCTTGAGGGGCCGCCATTGGTGAATGAAAGAGTTCACTTAAAATTGAAGAAATTAATAGTCTTAGCCTTTACTCAGTAAAAGGATCGTTTCGGTGAGTAAAAGCTAGTAAAATACGGAACTATGTTTTTCGGTCTATAATTAGTGTAATTATCTAGGGCTGATTTAAACACACGGTCTGAAACGAGACCTAGCGTGGGTTGAAAAAGGCATTTGATTGGGCTCTTTTTGGTTTAAATTGTGCTCAAATGGCTCCAGGAGAGGCTGAATCGGCAGACTTGGGCCTGCGTGGGTGAATTGATACTTTGGGGCTGAAACAGATCTTTTTGATTAACAGTGCTTTCAAGACATTAATTAGGTGGTTGATTCTTATATCAAAATAATATATATTTTAAAACCGTTGTTCTAGATTGATCCGATCATCTTGCACTTTATTTTATTGCACACAGAGAAGAGTATTGGCCATCGTTCCGCACGTTTAATCAATCATTTAATTAATTCATTTATTCATTCGTTAACTAACATAGTAAGTGGGGTGGACCGGACATCCGAAGTGATATCTAGTTCTTTCTAGAATGGATCTAGTGATATCATTTCCGGGGGGGGGGGGGTACTCGACTAATTTTTGGGTATAGGTGAGCCGCTAAGGCAACTGGCCCCCTTTAGGACCAAAAATTCCTAAAATACATACCCTGTTTAGGACCCTCAATAAATTTTATTACCTTGTTTAGGACAAAGGATAAAATGCAGCAAAGCCGGGGGGTACTCCTGAGAATTCTTGGTGGGGGTGTGCAGTCTGTTTCCTCAAATCCCCACCCTACCACGGCACAAAATCTCCTGTTTTCTGGTGATTTTACCAAACGGTTAATGTATTGAAAATGCCACGTTCACGATCTGTTTTCTCATTTCGGAATTCGTAAGGAAAACTCGGCGTTCACAATCCGTTAACACCAGCAAAATATGCTGTTTACTTCACGTTTTCCAGCACACGGAAAACGTGGTTGAACAGTGCGCTTTCTCTCGTTAACCGGACATTTTACCAAACGGTTAATGTAAGGAAAACATCGCGTTCGTGACTCGTTTTCCAACTTCGGAAAAGACAAGGACAACTTGGCATTCACCATCACTTAACAGAGGGAAAATATGCTGTTCATGTCACATTATCCAGCACATGGAAAACGGGGTTGAACAGCTCGTTTTCTCTCGTTAAGCGGAAATTTTACCGCGGTTAATGTCGTGAAAATATCACGTTCCTAAATCCTTTTCCGACTTCGGGTAACACAAGGAAAACTCCCGGGAAAACTCAACATTCACCGGCGGTAACACCAGGAAAACATGCCGTTCATTTCACGTTTTCTAGCACCTGGCAAACGCGATTCAATAGTGCGTTTTGCAACTCATTTTACCATCGTTATCAACAACGTGTAAACAGGCCGTTGACCGCCGTGTTTTATTTGGGTCCAAACATTTCCTGCCAAGAATTCCCTCAGCTTTATTTTGATTATCTTACCAGCAACAACTTTGGCAAGAAACCGGTGTCTGTGAATATTACAACGGAAATTGACTTCTCAGTAATCTCAGTTCAGCAGATTCTGAATACGATAAGACTTATTAGAGGTCTGTCGTAATCGTCGTTGTTTTTGAAACAAACTCAAGGCATGCAAAATGCATTCAGAGGCTTGTGTTATTTCTGCCGCGAGGCCGCGAAGCTAAAGATCCTGGAGAAAACGCAATGGCACAGACCATTTCTGTTTCCCTAGTAACCGGGCTCGTAGCCTCGACATCATGAGTGACACAAAAGACCAAGATCACATGACCTCAAAGTCCACGTTTCTTTCGTGAGAGAAAATATTTTGTCACATTTCGAAGAAGGCGGCGGGAATTTCGAGTTTTTGTTGTTTTGCTGCCATGTCCTCGGTCGATCTTGGCCAAGAAATCTCTCTTTCGGACCTTTACTTCTTGTTATTACAAGCCACGATTAAGGGAAGCAAGGTTTTGGGGCGCAAGTGGCGGAGAGAACGGAGAAAGAACAGGACGTCAACAGACTTACCGTTAAGCTGTTGACGAGCTGTGTGAAAGTTTTCAACCGAAGAAGCGTCTAGAAAGAGGAAAAGGAGCGCCAGTTCTTAATTGACGGTTTCAAGACAATTAGGGTAAGATCTTTAACTTCTTTTAGCATGTATTGTAAGGAATTGATCTCGAAATTGAATGCAAGTCGAGGATTTGTTAGTAAGCTACGTATACAGGGAGGAATCTGGAATAGTGAAATTCGGAATCCGGAATACAACTGTACCTAAGGAAACTTTCTTGGAAGGGACAAGAGAACAGCTCTGGACGGTCATGTTGAAACGCAGACCATGCAGACTGCAGACTGTGCAGACTGACTGTTATTAATTTACTTTTACCTTAATTTTCTAGTAAAATTTTTACTATAGTTTCCCGCTTCCTCTCATTATGTGCACTGTGCATCACTATCATATGTGCACCGATGTGTACCTTCAAGGGTCATGGCTAAGAAATGAGAAAATCGCGAGCTCATGTTTACCGGAAGATGTAAAGGCAGTTTCGTGCGCTTTTAGCTGGGCCGCTTTCATGCAGGAGCGAGCACGATGGAGGAAGGTAAGCTGATTCTTTCTGTAATTGTATTATATTGCCACGATTATTCAAATCTTTTTTAGTAGAAGAAGTTTTTTCAGGTTAAGTGACTTAAATAAAACCCTTCCTACAATGGCTACGAGAGAGACATTTCCTCAATTTCGTTGATTGTTGATGATTGCCTTGTTTGGTTTCACTCTGTAATTCAAACCGGTGTCTTGCCGCCATTTCTTCAACTCTTACAGATACCGATGTCGTCGTTGTTAGCTCGGCCTTGCTTTAAAATGTGTAAATAAATCAACGGTATATCTACCTTAGAAATATTCTGATTTCCTCGTATTTGGCGGTTCCGTAAACGTCAGAATTAAGAGGAGAAGGGCAGTGACTTTAACTTCTCGCAGATAATATTCAATGAAAATTAAGACAAAATATGCCTAAAATACACGGTGCATTCAAGCCTCCTCCACATCTTCGAGTTGTATAAATAATACATTTGTTACTAATGAACTATTTAGTTTTGGAACTGCATAAACAAGAACCATGATACTCGGACAAGATTGTCAGTTTCAAACCACTACCACTTATTGGCGTGAGTGCATGGAGCAAATACAATTGTTGATCCCCGAGTGAAAACCAGCCAAGAAGGACACTCTTGGGAATTGAATAAAAAAAATATGTGAACAAAAGTCTTAGCCGAATCTTCCGAGCTAACAACGATAACATCGGTATCTGTACTGGATTTGAAGAAATGACGGCAAGTCACCGGTTTGTATTACAGAGTGAAACTAAAGACAATCATCAACAATCAAGGAAATTGAGGAAATGTCTCTCGTAGCCGTTGTAGGAAGCCGAAAAGCGTTTTATTTTAAGTCACTTAACCTGAACTGAAAAGCTTCTTCTACTTAAAAAAATTAAATAATCGTGGCAATATAATACAGTTACAGAAAGAAACAGCTTACCTTCCTCCATCGTGCTCGCTCCTGCAGGAAACTATAGTAAACATTTTACTAGAAAATTAAGATACAAGTAAAAAATTTAACATTCGGTTTGCACGCTCTGCACAGTCTGCAGTCTGCATGGTCTGCGTTTCAACATGACCAGCTCTGGAAGATAGGCTAAAACTTACTGTACCTTGTGGCACAAATTTTTTGTGGGAGTTTGTTTTTGCAGATGTAGCATGTATATGAGGCAAGGAGTTTGGACATGATAATTTATTTGTTTTATGACAAAGTATTAATTTTTACAATCAATCCTGGCTGACCTGCAGCTAGCTAAACTAACCGAGGCAGATCAGTCTCACAAGTTCTAAATATTACAGATAACCCGATGCTGCTGGTAAAAAGAGCAACTAAAGGGACACAGTCGCCTACTGGGCCACACTGACCTGGACACCACTTTTTCCAGTTTGAAAAAGAATTAAATACCTCAACTCAAAATCAAATGTACACATCAGATACATCTAGAAATCTACTTTAATCTGGCCTAGTTTTTCATTCGATCCTCTATTTTTTTTCCGAAAACATCTTTCTAACTCAGCAAACTTTTATGCATCCTAAAACATTATTTTATCATAATTATTTGGTTAAGCACAGTATCCAAAGGAACATAAAAAGAGGAGGTGGAAAACGTGTAGATGCTGGACGGGAGAAATCCCCTTCGTGTACCAAAATAACAAGAGAAATGAATCAATAACGCTGCAGAGCAAATCATCATTACAGATATTTGGAAAATTGATGGAGAAAGGTACAATCAAGCTGTCTCAACCTACTGATTCATCAAATTCAGAAGTACCGGTATTCGTCAATGTTTAGCTTTCCCTGGACAAGTGCATTGGTGAATTCTTGATGGCATAAAAAAATGAGTGTTCTGATATGACTTAGAGTCTGTAACTAAGATTTTGACTTGCAATTAGTTCAACTCCACAAGGTTTGTTTAGATATTCCGGATGCGCTTCTCACTTTCTGTTTCACGTGCATCTTGTGATGTGCAAAGCAGCTAAGAATTGGTATGTAATGCGCATGTGCATCAGCTGACTATGTCCCTTCAAGTGGCCTTTTACATGGAGGGAGAATTCGTGCAAAGCATATTGTTATGGGTCAAATTTGTTTTCAGATTAATCTTGATTTAACTCTGGTTGATTCTCAATTTCCTTTGTCTCCTAGCCCCAAGAGACAAAGGAAATTGAGAATCAACCTGGGGGAGGGGGGTTGGGGGGAAAGCAAACCCAGGTGCTACATGTATGCAACACAATGTATGGAAGATAACTTGTGGAGTTGTATAGCTTGTGATTAACTGATCACAAATGCTTTGTTAGGTGGGTGCGAAGGCAGATAATATAATATACAGAATCCAAGTTCAAGAGTTCAGTAAGAAGGTTGAACCTTTTTTATCTGAACTAATCATTGTGGGGTGCTATGGAAAAAAAATTGTGACGAGTTTGGAAGTGTGCCGACTTAAGTTGCCATTATTGTTCTGTTGTTTCTTGGTTACCGGTAGATTAGGTAAGTCCAAATTTTGCTTGAGTACCTGTCTAAAAAAGATACTTTAAGAGAAGATAATAGATAAGAAATTTTCACTCCAAAGGTTCATTGTGGTTCTGGGGTAAAATTAGTTTTCTGGACTGCATTGTCACCTATTTTCTGGTGGCCAATCACAAGGAAACAAGCAAACATTTCAAGTAGCCTACATTGTTTTGTGATGTACCAGTGTTTATTTTTTGTTGTTGATCCCTCCTGTGGGCTTCACTCTCTTGTGATCTTGGCTGCATAAGGATTTTGAGAAATGCCAAAAATTATTTTACAAAATTATATAAGTAGTCTAATTATTATTATTGTTCCTTTCTGCTCAGTTTTTGAAATTGTTTCCAACATTTTTCACTCGTATCATTTTTCAACAAAGTTATGACTCACTTGATATGTATAAGTATTTGCCACTAAGCTCTTCTTTTATCATTAAGTTATAAATAATTTCAACTGCAAGGTCAAGTAGCATTGCAAAGCACATAAGGGAAAATGCAAAAACAAATTAACTCACAAGCAAATGCCTGTACTAGCCACGATATTTTGTGATGAATAACAAAATATTTGTTATGTTGAAAAATGTTGTGAGAAGAAAATGTAGGTAAGAATTACAAAAACTGATCAGAATGGAACAATTTTTCTTACTACTCAAATAATTTTTATATATTTTTTTGCATTTCTTGAGCCCCTTCTGCAGTTGAGGTCAAACGAGAAGGAAGCCCAACGAGGGATAACAACAAAATTAATATATTCATCACAAAATAGCGACTACTAGGTTACAAGCATTTGCTTGTTTCCTTGTGAGTTGCTGCCAAAAAAAAACATGACAACACCATTAATCTAACCCCAAATCCACACCGAACTGTTTGAGTGAAAGTTTACCATCCTTTATCTTATCTTAAAGTATCTCCTTGGTGGCAATCGACCGAAATTGGACTTACCTAATGCAACCATGAAACAGTCGTGCAATAATGGTGACTTATTAAGTCAGCACTTGCAAGCTTGTGAAAAATTTATTCATGGGGCCAGCACAACAATGATTACAGAGTGATATAAAAAACCAGTTCAACCTTCTTACAGAACTCTTGAACTTGGATTATGAAAATTATCAGCCTTCATACCCACCTAAGGACACTTTTGTGATCATTTAATCACAAGCCATCTGACTCCACAAGTATAAAGCTAGCTGTACATCACATGTATATTCAAACAGTAGTACATGTTGTTTTAAAGAAGGGATTCCAGGGATAGAACACAATCCAGTGGCATTACTCAGTTGGTAGCATTTGTGAATAATTTAATTAAAGGGAAAAGAATTAAGCCTCACTAAAGGTGACAGCTACAGATCAGTGACCACTACTGGTTTTTCAATGAGAATATTTCTCTTGACTACAGATGCTCTGAAAGTTAAAAACAAATCTATCAAAAATAATTGATTTCTATATTATTTCACCCAGAAACTTGAGAAAAGACTAAAAGTGGTTACAGAAGATGAGAAGAAGATGCCAGTCTTAGAAGCCCTACATTCAGCCTTGATTTCGTTCGATGAGTCAGATGAGGAGGGTGATGTTCTCAGAACAAGGCCCCTATAGTGGAGATCAGAGGAGGTTTCCATGTTTTTTTCACAATTTGGACTCGCGCTATAGAAGAAGTATGTCCAACCAGCAAAAAAGGCAATCTGTTAACAGAAGGGTTGGTCCTCCAATTACAAGACACCGTAATGAAGTTCCTGAGTCATTGCTGTGGGCCATTAAATTGTAGTTCTTTTCATTTTTTAATGCTTGATAACAGTGGAGCTTCAATACATTTTTAAAAGTAAATCAGGGAAAACCTTGTTTCAAGGCTTATATGTCGACCAGTGAAACCCCAAATGGCAATAGCACACTGTTAACAGTGTGCTATTGCCATTTGGGGTTTCACTGGTCGACATATATTTAACAATTTATTATTCCTCAAGCCCGAATGGGCTATTGACTCAGAGGCCATGAGGGCGAGAGGAATAATTTCTTGTTTTAGTAAAATCCAACTAGTTGGTCCAAAATATCGAGACAAAACAAGTTTAGCTAGCAAAAACATTGTTCAGCCGCCATTGTTTTGGTTTTCAAAGCCGGCGCTTTTCGCTACTAGTGGGCTATAACATATGGCCTAGTAGTAGCTCAGCCAATCAGAATGTGACATTGATAATAGACCACTAGTTGGATATTACCAATTAACTATATTCCAGGTGATTTTCACCAGCAAACCGAGAGAGTACTCATCCTTAAAGGAAGTACACTCAAAATTCCACTCAGTACAAGCACACATGGACTTATTAAACTAAGGAGTGGATCAACTTCGATATCTCCCGACTGTTCTTATTTGGATCAGTTGGTTATCAGTAGATATATTGTCAAGAGTGTTCTGAATTGTACCGACCATATTCATTTGATAACAGAATTTTGTGAATATCTTATCTATGATTGAATGCATTTTTATAAATAGTAGTTTTAGTTTACTGTGGAGTGGTCATAATCAATTAGAGGCATTCTGTACTGCAGACGATGAGTTGAGTTGCTGATAATAAAAGAGTTCAGAAGTACATTGAGAGCTTTTCATTACTTGTTTCCATTCAGGGATATCGGGGACAGACAGAATCGAAGTATTTATTTGTCGTTTAAAGCACCTATGCCGGGTGCCGGGAAAAACAAAACTGCAACAACGAATGTTAAATTTTGAACGAAAACACCAGTGAATAAAGGACTAAGTTACATTCCAGCATAAGATCACACTGGAAACGTAGAAGGTGCGCGAAAATAAGCGCATTCGATACTGAAAACGGCGCGTTTTCCTGGAGAAAAGAAAAAAGTTTTGAAACGATGGAAAACATCTCATTAACCGATGGGTGAACGGTGGAGAACATGCTATTTCCCGGCATTTTCTAGTTGTTCGCTGCCCCAGAAAACGCGAGAAAACTCACGCAAAATGACGGAAAACGTCTGTGAATTCTTTGTTTTGCGACTTGAAAACACCAGAAAACACCAAAAAACGCAATGTTAAGTCACTGGAAAACTGCGGTGAACAACGGAATACGATCCGTTCCTCATGTGTTAACCGTATGTTTTCCGTGTGTTTTGCTTGTATTATCCGTGCGTTAACGGTCCGGTTAACACCAGTAAAACAGTGAAAACTATCGGATAATGGAACGAATACTCAAATTCACCGACCAGAAAACGACGGGAAAAGAGTGGGTTTTACGACCGGAAAACGCGAGAGAATTTTAGCAAAATGCCGCGTTTTCGAAAATTAACCGAGGGTTTTCCGAGACGGTGAATGCCATATTTCTTGCCGTGTATACTTCAGACCAAAAAATGTAATTTTCCACACCCGTTTTCAGACCAGACGTCTAAAATCCATACCCGTTTTCAGTCCTGGGCTTTAGGCAGAAATTATGTTATCATTACTTACATTAGAGCGCAAACAAACAAATTCTTCAAAGTCATTTCGAATTCGCATATTTCTCTTTCTTTCTTACTCATTTGGAATGGAAGCGATTAATTTTTGATACATTCCCGTAGTTCCCTCAAAAACCATACCCGATTCCAGACTAAAATGGGCAAAGTGTATAGCCGTTTTCAGACCAAAACGGCGCAAAAACCCTACCCGATGGGGCGGCACATACCTATATGGCTTATATAAGGGAGTACCCCCCGGAATAGAAGAAATTCACGTTATAGTCATTGATTTTGTTTGCTTGGAGTACAAACAAAATTCATCCACCAATCAAATCAATAATGCAGGTAATAGGGACTTTAAGATTCGACGACGCGACGGCGACGAGAACGTCGCTGAAAAAGTGAATTTGCGTTCTTTCAGTCTTTATCGCAATTATTCCTACACACTTACTTTGTCAAATGTAGGCGAACACTCCTGGAGTTGAATTCCTAGGCACCATATCCAAGCACAGTAAGAGAAATAAAATTTCGTCGTTGCTTGTTTACGTCCTCGGTAAAAAGCGAAATTAGGCATGTTCACGTCGTAGTTGTGCTAAAACGGGCAGAGAAATGTACAAAAAAGCGTGGTGCACGTGCAAAGTTGTTGTTTTGCTAATCAAACCTTTTGTTTTTTTGACGTTCTCGTTACCGTCCGCGTCGTTGGATCTTAAAGTCCCTGATACCCTTCAGACAGACTCACCCGAAATTGTATACCCTGTTTAGGAAAGAGGGTCAAAAACCATGCCCTGACCAGCGGCACATCCCTGTACAGGCCATATAAAGGAGTACCCCCTGGGTATCATTTATGAGTTGGGTGATATTTGACCCCTCCTATCATTATCTCTGTGACTCAGAAACAACGCTGATCGGACCTGTCATCTATTGTAGTTATGAGCACTTATCAAGTCGCGTCTTATTAACTTTGGGGTTGTTTCCAGAACGACGTTGCCTTTCTACGGTACTTGAATGGTCCGTATGGGGCGTTGTGCCAGTACTGTTCCAGAATTAAAGAATATATTCATCGCAATACCTTCACGATATTGCCAAACTATATTGGGCATAGGAATATAAAATGACGTAAATAACGCAGTCTTCTGCTAGAAAAAAGCAAGGTAACCAAAAATTGTGTTAGCTCAGCTGTTCTGGAAGCGCTGTTGAAAATGGCGGAAAATTTATCACGTTTTGCGAAAAAGAAAAGGCTGAACTACTACCTAAAAACATTGTAAAAAAAACCAGCAAAATACAATTCTACTCATGAAAACTGCTTTCTGAAGAAATATCTGCTAAACCACTGCAATCCTGTTTAATTAATATCGGTAGCGACTTAAAACAACAAGATAATACAGTTCAAAGGGCATTTTCCCAGTAAAGTCAGTCAACATGCACAGCTGAAACATTTTCCCAATCTAAGCGAAAAGCATGCTCTCTTCAACTCCGATTAAAACGGTTAAACCTCCAGATAAGTAGCCACAAATTTCTTACACGGTCGTCTTTCTGCGTCTTTGTGGCAGAAACCGTGTAATTTCATTCAAAACTTCCCGCACTTCTGAAATTAATACAGGTAATATTCCCCCCGGCAGAGGCTACACCAAAAGTAATTGATCTTCAAAGTATATACCGTCCAGAAATCCTTCGTGTGTTTGCGCAAGGACTCGTGCCTTGCGAATTCGCAAAAGAATCGAGTTTTTAAAACAATACTTGCCAGCAAACGGTTTTATGAAAATGAAGAAATGATGGTCGCAGTGAACGCAATTTATGCAATTGCGTAAAGGTTTTATGTCATCCCTCCTCTATGAAATGTCCAGAAGAGTCTGCCCTACTTCACACCGATCGGAAATAAATTCCTTCCCCAGTTTCATCGACTGAAAACGATAAAGATCCAGAATAATACGAAAGTTAAAGTTAGGCGAACGGCTATCATGAAAGCGTTTTATTATTTAATTATAGAAACAACGACTTGCCGGCAACTTAAAACTAAACCCGTTGTCAGCACAAATTATCATCTATTGTCTTACTGCCAATCGGATGCTTGCGTTGCTGGAAGGACGCGCTTCCTGAAACGCGAGATTGCAGTGAAGACATGACAGTTTGACATATGACAGAGGAAGGAGACTCCTTCATCTTCCCAATATTTTCTAGGAAGATCGAAGGAGACTCTGCTCGTAGGGTAACCTCCCTCCCGCTACTCCCTATAAACCCCGACGCCCGCCCTCCACCAAGGCAAAGCGCTCGATTCCAACGGTCTTATGGAAAAATAGGGGACTGTGAACAGTCTAAAAAAAAAAACAGCAAAATACAAATCTACCGATGACAAATGCTTTCTGAAGAATATCTGCTGATTAAGCCACGGCCATCCCGTTTAATATCGGTAGCCGCAGTCTGTTATAATAATAATAATAATAATAATAATAATAATAATAATAATAATAATAATAGTAATAATTTATAATAATAATATCCTTTGTTTACCCTCAGCAGTATTTACAGCACTAACGCTAGTGGGGCCGAGCAAATGCCTGAAATTATTCATTATATGTCTTTAGATGTCTCTCATCGAATTAGAATTTGAAAACTCCAGTTCAGTTAAATGATTAAAATCAAATTAAGGCTTTATAATTTGTCATTTATCAATACGCAGATTGTCAACAACAGCAGAACAATGAGCTTAAAAATCTTGATGATGCTGTCGAGAAGATGATAAAGAAAGGACAGGCCATACTACAGGAGATCAAGAATTTAAAAGATTCAAAAAAAAAAGAAACTAAAAAGTTTGAACAGGCGATAAGAAATCAGACCCTGCAGTTAAAACAAGAAATAGAGGTTTCCATAGAAAACCAAACTGATAATCTGACCTCGGAGTTCGAAGACTTGGCTGCGAGAGTAAATCAAACTGATGAAGGTAGGGTTAAAGTTTATTTTCAAAGAGAAAAGAGTTAAAATTGTAACCAAACTGATTACCCCTTTTCAGAAACACCAAATTTTTATCATTCTCATACAATAGCCATTAACAGTTCAGATTGAAAGTTCAGAGCTAGATCACCCGGGGTACCTAATCGAACGAAACCAAACCAAAAATCAATCGAACCCAATCGGTCGGATCATTGTTCGATTGGTTCGGTAATCGAACATAAGCACTGGAACTTTTCGGAGAGTTCAATTAGCGAACTCAATCGAACCAATCGAACTCAATCGACGCGATTATTTCGATTTTGTTCCGCAGAAAGACAAAACGCATCCAGTTTCAATTAAATCGGAAAGATCTACCTCTAGTATGTATATGAAGCAGTTTGAAAACCTGACAAAAATATTTCAATTAACCCGGAATTAAATATAACTAAAACCTTACTGTTACATTAAAGTGATTCAAAATCGATAAATTCACATGATTAATGCTGGGGAACATGAACGTCACAGAAAAACCTTAAAGCATACACAGGCAAAATGTATTGTCTTGATAAGATATTTGTACATAATAACGGGCAGTGCTTATCGACTGCAACGGACATATTTTTGAAGTCTTACTCTTCAGCTTCGTCGGTCAATGGCCAAAGCACAGATTGACACCAGTTCACATTGCAAATGTCCAAGTTTCGTACCTTTAGTACCTTCAGAGCTGGATCCCTGTCTCCCCTTTTTACTCCATAATAAACTTTTCACCGACACCAACGGCAAAAGAAAAATCGTGGTGGCCTTAATAACCATCTGCTCAGGTGTTTGAAATTGAACTGGGCCAATACGTAGCTTATTTGAACGCAGCGCCTTGTTTGAAACCAGACAAAACTGGTTTTATGCTCGATTGTTGCAGTGTTCGATTTTTGAACGTTCGATAATGTACGATAAGTGTTCGATTTCTCAACGTTTGATTGTGTTCGATTGGCAAAATTGTTGGGTGAGTTGGATTAAGTTCAATTACCGAACCCATTCGAAGTCAATCGAACGATTGGAGTTCGATTAGGTTCTATTACCGAACGTTCGATTAGCTAGGCCGGGTAGATCATCGCTATGAAGTTCTGTGATGAAGCGAGTGAGTGCTGTTGATTAGCTTGAAAAACCAAAGTGGCCTCGTAACATTTCACCCGAAAGGGAATGTTGGTCAACTTTACTGAAAAACGTCTTAGGACTTGTTTGCAAGTTGGAAAGGTAACCCTGGTGCTAGGGTTACCCTAGCTAGAGGGTTAGAGATAACTCTGGATTACAAGCAAAATTTCCGAGATAAGATTACCCCATCGAACGGGTCAACTTTACAAGTTTGACTGGTGTGTTTCGTCATGCGTGACCACATAGGACTAAAATACACATTCTTTGTAACGTCCAACATTTAAACGAAATCTTGAAGATCTCTATGTTAAACACGTTAACTTCACCAAAAAAAAGGAAAGATGTTTTTTTATCGTATGAATAAAATGTCTAATATTGTTCAGATGTTTAAGACTTAGCTCGAAAAATTGGATAACTCCGCCCCCGGGGGGGTGGGGAAGGGTACTCAACAAATGTTTATACTGGAAGGCCCAGCCCCCAGTTCCAACTCCTTACCCTTTTTAATACCATTTTTCACGAAAAAGGTACCCCTTTCGTATACCTTCTATTAACAAATGGTACTCCTTTCACACACCTTGTCTAGAACGTTGCATCCCTTTTAACTGCTGTAAATTCACTATCTTTTAAATAGGAATCAATCACAAAATTAGAACGTTTTCTCGACTCACTTATAGAGCCACACATTTCATCTGTTAGCCCTTTTGGACCCTTTCACAGAACCAAATGACATATTTCCCTACCCTTTTATATAAAATTTTTTCAACTAGTGAAATCTTTCAACAACAACGACAACAACAACAACATAAGCTTTATTTGCGTGACTACAATTATGTAGTTACAGTATTGCAAAAACTTTAAAATAAAGTTACAATTTATAACAATGATAATGCAATGCAATGATTACTACCCTGTTATATACCTGAAACCTGAAAAAGATACTCCTTTTGGGCGGAGCCTCCCCGCATAGGCCATCATAGGGAGTGCGCCCCGGGAACGCAGCTCAAATGTTCAAGAACGCTTGACGGTTGAAGTTGTCTCAGGTGGGCGAGTTATGGCTAGCAGAGCATTTACAAGGCAGGTAGGGTAACCCTTTTGCTAGGATAACCCTGGCACTCAGGTAGGGTTACCCTAGCACCTGGGTCACCCTCCCTCCTTATAAACAGGTCCTTAAATTTGCTATTGTGGCACTCTTTTTTTTTTTACACACGCCAAGCAAACAGTTGCGCTCAAATGAACCTACACCGTTGACCAGCTAGCCCGTCCGCCCTTACAGTGGACACACGTGCACCAGCCTTCTATTGTAGCTATGAGCACTTATCAAGTCGCGTCCTATTAACCAAACAAACCAAGCAAACCAGTTGGCTATTTACATGCGTAGTACAGAACCTGAACTCGGGACCACCGAGAACAAATCCAGCTAGCGTTCAGGGTGGAACTTGGACTCGGGGCTTCCGAATTACAAGCCCAGCGCTCTAACCGCTCGGCCCACAATGTGTCCACTTCAATCATCAGCAAAAAGCCAGCGTGCGACTTTTTCTAGCGTTGTGCATGCGCGCGCCCCTTCCCGAGGTCCTTTCCCTTGGCACCAAATACTAACTTTGGCGGTACAACTGTGCCGTGTTTAAATTTATTTTTTTAACATTCTGAGAGTCTTGATGTATGCGTTTTATTCATGGAAAAAGTACGTAAACTGAAATGTGGCAGTTTCGCTGGATATACATGTGAAAAGCGCGAGTCGCACACTCCTAAAAGTCTGCAGGCTGTGAAGTAAGGAAGGCGCTGAGCTCACACTGTACCGGATAGCTTTTCGTGCCGACATGACTATGACGTGAAAAGCTGTCGCTATAGTGTGAACACGTATTCGACATGTGACTCTCCACTTTAGAGATCCGCACGGCGCAGCTTTCCTCCGTTACAGAAATTGCGCCGAAATCACCGTTTGTATGTGTGAACGGAAGCCCTATCCGGAATGGTTGTCGTGTCGGCGCAAAAGCTATCCGATATCAGCGGTAAAGTGTAAACATAGCCTCAGGTTATGTATTATGCACCAATCATCTCATTTTCATAGCGCGTTCGAGGAATAGTTTTTCATTATATTATGTCTCTTATAGCGTGGAATTTGAAAAGTCCAATTCAGTTTAATAATTAAAATCAAATGCCTCTTGAGTTTTATAATTTGTTATTTATCAATTACGCAGGCAGACGTCAGGATGGTCTTGTTCTTGATTGGATGAAACGAGAGTTGAGCAAGCTTAGGGGCATGGTCTCGAAGATCAAAGACCAAGTATCATGTGATCAAACTGAACTGCGCAGATGGCTCGAAAAGAAGATAAACGATCAGACCCTGGAGTTAAAAGAAGAAATAAGGCCTTCAAAAGAAAACCAAACTACAGGTGATGAGATTAAACAACTGGCCTTGAAGTTTCAAACCTGGGCTTTTGAAGTTAGGGTTAAAGTTAATTTTAAGGAGAAAAGAGTTAAAATTGTAACCAAACGGATTACCTCTTTTTGGAAACACCACATTTATGTCAATCTCATAATAGCCATTATCAACAAAGACTGAAATTTCAGTGCTAGATCATCGTTTTGACGTTCTGTAAAAGCTTGTGAAGGAGCGAGCTGGTGCCACTCTTTTTCCGCTCGTTATGTGATCGATTTGCTTAAAAAACCAAGGTTTCATCCTAAAAAGAAAGTATGGCGAGAATTCTACCAAGGTTTAACTTTGGGTAAACTCGCACTGATAAACGCCTTAAATTTGCTATTCAGTGACACTCTCTTTTTCTCACACGCCAAGCAACCGTTGCGTGCAAAAGAACCTGCACCGTTGAGCACTGACCCAGCTAGCCCTTCCGCATTTACAGTGTTGGACCAAGGACACACGTACACCAATGCATGTTGGGAAGTATAGAGGTGTGCTTGACCAAAAATCAGTAAGCTTAAGCAACGACGACGGCGACGCCAACGAAAACGGCAGAAAAGCAATAGGTATAAATTGGCAAAACAACAATTCTGCACTTGCATCACGCTATGATTTTGGTCAACGGTCAAGACACTAGAGTGATTTTACTAACCCGTGAAGCAGATCTTACAACGAGTGAATAATAGCAACAGATCTAGAGATTATAACAAAAAAAGAAAATGGAATTAGAGCATAATAGCTATAGTTCGCTGTATTCTACTACCTATTTTTAACACTCCCGCAATCTTTGCACGTGCTTTATAATGGAATAAAAGCAATGTTACGTGGTATTTTAGTGATACGATTTGGTAATACGATTAGTTTGCTTATTCCCTCCAAACGAAACAACGATTTTATTTTTGCAAAATGTACAGTTCGAGTTTCGACAAGTTTTATGTCATTATTACTTGCTGTGAGCACACCTACGGTCGCTACTGCGATACAAAAAAAGTAATAATGATCACTTCCACCCACAATTCCCCATTTTTTGTCGTCCAGAATAAAGAAACTCGGCCGCGATTTGTTGTATTGGTGGAGTAGTTTTCCTCCTGGAAAACCACGTGACATCGCTTTTATCCCATCAGTCCTTAAAAGCGTGCAAAGATGGTGAGTATCGTGAATGAGGTCTATTCGAGTTACTGACTTGCAGACATTTTTTTGTTTCAGACCCCTGGATCAAAGTGAATAATTCAAGTCCAATATGCTTTGATGAGAAAGACAACATCTTTGGCAGTTTTCGTGTTCCATATAGTGGCAAACTGGCATCAGTAAAACTGGTCCACCGAAGTGGTAATCTGACATGCGATAACCTTCCTTCGTCCTTTTGGGGTTGCGGAGGAAACCGTCAAGAGGTAAACGTTGTAATAAAAACCTTGCCTGGTAAAACTATTTTACGCTTAAGAGAGCTCTCCACTGGTGGGGAGCAATGGGAGTCTTCGCAGACTACTGGTTATAACTGGTCTTCTCCAGAGCTGGTGCTATCGGCATGCTCCAATCCTCAATCCGTGACTGCAGGACAGAAGCTACTTTTAAGCTACGACAAAAATCCGCGGCAAATCACTGGAGGGAGTTCGTGCTACGATGTTTATGTTCGCTTGATGTCGTAACTGAGAAAAGGTATCGAGACGCATTTGCTCTGTTCCGCATAATTAAGCATGATTGGAGTGGTGCTCAAACATAAAGGAGCTGTGTCACGGTCACGACACTGACGCCGAAATTATCCAAATTTTAACATTAGGAACAGCCAAAAAATTAAGTTAAGCATGTAAGAATAATTTCCGGAGTAGTCAAAGGATAAAAATTGGTATCGATTTGACTGATATCGATTGTGTCCATCAGTCGGTAGATATCGATGACACACTCGTTTCGTTCATTGATTTCTCTTGATTTTTACCGATTTCATCGATCTATATCGGAAGATACATCTGTTCATCGGCTCATCAAAAAATGAAAACTAAATTCATGCAAACAGTAAATTTATTGACACTTGGCTCCGAGGCTTGGGGAATTGAAAACAAAAGAAGTGTATATTGCTAAGCCTCAATATGATTTCTTTTGTTTTATTCCCCCAAGTCTTGGTGCCAAGTCTGAATTTTAATACATGGAAATTGACCACTCCAGAAAATACCATTACATACCATAATGCTTTTTGTTTGTCACCCCGAAATTTTGCATAAGCATTGTCTTCTGTTTCTCTCGGGAGTTAAAATGGCCCCAAGAGAAACTGAAAACGACGCTTATACAAAATGTTGAGTGACAAACAAAGAGCATTATGGTATGTTATGGTCTTTTCTGGAGTGGTCAATTAGGCTATTGAGTTGCAATTGAGAGTCGACGGATCAAAAAATTATCAGTTTTTAAGAAAAATGTTAAATCTTGCATCCCGGAGTAGTCAATAGATGAAAATCGGTATCGATAAAAATCGTTAGCAAAGAAGTGATTTTCATAGATTGAAAACGGAAAACGGTGAAAATCTATCTTAGGAAGTTTTTAGGAAATCTTTATCTAGAGTTGTTTTTCTGGTGATTACTTACCTGCAAGAACTGGATGTAATTAAACCGAACCGTTTTTATTATTATCTACAAAATAAAGGGTTTTGGAGAGAAACTTGCGTAATAGTTTCCACATTTCTGATTTTAATATTTGTTGATCAGAATTCCTCTTGGATATGTTTTCTCCTCTAACTTACGGTATGCCAAAAAACAATATGGCGTACCTCGGTTATAAATCGTTAAAATCATGAAAAACGGTAATATCGATTTGACACAGCAATTTAGTTTATCTATTTTTACCGATTTCCGTTATCAATCGATAAAAATCACTTGATTGCTATCGATTTTTATCAATACCGATTTTTATTGATTGACTACTCCGGGACAAATAACACAGATGAAATACAAAAGAAAGGAGGCACAGATGGGAAACCCTGAAAAAGATTCCAGAGGATTGCACGTGTAGTTACTGAAAACTTCCTAAGATGTTAAAAGTTCACTTTTGTTGTTTGTAATGTTTGATAATAATGTTTGAAAGACATATTTGTTTGACACGAAGCTTCCTATTTGACATTTACAAGTATTTCTGAAGTCTCCATAGCGAATTTACTCCTTTTTACAGTTACTGGTGAAAAGGAGGCTGGACCTTGTTTTGATACAAACCTTCCTTCTTTATTATGTAAATCATGTTTTTCTTATGCTAACTTGTATAATTTGACCACTCCAGAAAATACCATAACATACCATAATACTGTTTGTTGGTCACTCCGAAATTTTGCATAAGCATTATCTTCAGTTTCTCTTGGGGCCATTTTAACTCCCAAGAGAAACTGAAGACAATGCCTATGCAAAATTTTGGAGTGACCAACAAACAGTATTATTGTATGTTATGGTGTTTTCTGGAGTGGTCAATTTTTTAAGCAAAATTTCCATTAGGAAAGGAAAGAAATTGCATCAAAACAACGTTAAGCCCACAACTGTAAAATGGCCTAATATAATTGTTGTAGTTAATTTTTTATCTCAGGTAATTTTTATTTTTCCTTTGTTTCAACTTCATTGGCAGACATTACCATGCCCAAAAACAAAATAAAAATAAAAAATACCTGAGATAAAAAATTAACTACAATATAAACAAGGTGAACAGATTAAACGTGACACAGCCCCTTTGATTATTAAGCTAAGGGACGTTTAAGATAAAATTTGATACATTAAGGTTCTTTTATTCATTGCTTAAAAGTGTAAACGCAAGCTCAACGTGAACTCAATAAAATAAACTTTTTAAATATATTTTCCATTTTTTAATGCTTTCGTTTCTGGGGTCAAAGTCCCAATCAACACCACGGTAAAAGCCTGAAGTTACTGCTTGCGGTGGTGGGGTGGGGGCATAGCGTAAGCATCTTCTCGAAGCACTTACCTTATTTGAGAAACCACTAGGTTTACTAAGTGGCCCATATTAATTTGAGGCTGATCACGAATTATCGAACATTTCCTGTTCCGTGCATCAGCTAAAAGTCTTATTCATTGCACTCGGCTAATCCAGTTATTTTTGTCACTTGGCAATTGTATTTTGAATAATAACAGAATAATATTCTGTGTGTCTTTTGAATTTTAATTTAAGTTATTTTTAAGTAGTTTTTCTGAAAGGAAAGGTGCCTTTGTTATCCTCGCCCTTAATTCCCCACTTTTTGCCTACACTAGCATTGACATCCATTATTATAACCACAGGTAACCCAGGCTCTGTGATAGTACCACAGTACGGTTCCAGTAAAATTACAGTGTTTGTATGGGGTAAAAATATCATCCTAAAATTTCTAGGGAATACTAAATAAAGATCAAATGAAACTAACTCTGCAGTTAATTGTTGTTGTCCTTATTGCTCCAACGAAGTTTAGTGATAATTTGCAGTAATTTGTTCAAATTCACTCTATCTACAATAACTGAACAAATTACTGCAAATTATCACGAAACTTCGTTGGAGCAATAAGGACAACAACAATTAACTGCAGAGTAGGTTTCATTGATCTTTATTTAGTATTTCCTAGAAATTTTAGGATGATATTTTTACCCCATACAAACACTGTAATTTCACTGGAACTGTACTGTGGTACTATCACGGAGCCTGGGTTACCTGTGTTATAACCAGACCCAACTGACAAAGGACAATAATGTAAATCATTATGATACTCCCAGCATTCAACAAAAAGTACAAGCTTTTGAGTAGATGTTCAAGTCAGGAGAGTTTTGAAATCTTGCGAGAATCAGTTCGTACTCTCTCATTGGCTTTATCAACAGAATCTGATAGCAGGTCCAATTGTCGAAGCTGCCTGTTCTGTTCATCCTGTATTCCCAGTGCGAGACTTCTCATACCCTGCAGAACCTGCCCCATCTCAGCTGCTTCAGCATCTGTTACTGCCTTGGAATTCTTTGCTGTACTGCTGTTAAACTGAAAGTCTCCTCGATCAGCGCTTGCATCATCGATATTATCTGTAATGAACGACAGGATTATATTTGGTTAAAGTACTATTCAAGCCAAAAGAGCTGGACCTTGTTTGTACTATTATTATTATTATTGTCACTCCTTTCTTTCTGAACTGGATATTAGTTTGTTACAAGGTCACCTGGTTAGGGCAGGGGGAGGGGGGGAGGACAGGGAGGTCCAAGACTCCTTTCTCAGCTACCTGAAAACATCAGTGGGGAAAGAGTTAACACGAAGCAAAGCCCTAGCAAAAGTTAGTTGAACCGTATTGTTTTCAGCTACCCAAAATGTTGATTACCAGCACAATGCTGGGAAGCTTTCACAGTTCTGGCGTGCAAAAAAGATAAAACACTTTCACTTCTTCCCTTCTTTCCCTGGGCATTTGAAAGGCTTTACTTTATTGGGCAGTTTTTGCCAAAATAGCCTAAAGGATATTTTGGTGGAAATGGGGGAGGAGAAGAGATAAAGGAAGGAGTGACACAAAATAGGCTTGATTACCAGCAACTGGTTTGGGAAATGAACCTGAGCTGTCTGAGGTACTTCCTTTCTTCTCAGGGAGGAGTGAACCTGGACTACAGAAAGCAGCAGAAAATGAGCCTGTCTCCTCTTTTGCTTCCCACCAGTCTCCATTCCCCCGAAAACACCAGATAATCAGGTTATTGGAAAAAAGAAACACTCCATTACTTAATTTGCTAATGAGTGAAACAATAAAACTGCGGTTCTACCCCCTTGAAGGGGGAGGAGGGGAGTGGGGGGTATTTTACAAAGTTTTATACTGGGAGGCTCTGCCCTGAGGTCCACCCAGTTAACCTTTTATATACAACTTTGGCAAAAAGGTACTCCTTTTAAATACCTTCTATTGACCAATGGTAGCCCTTTACAAATCTAGTTTAGAACTTTGCATTTGTAATAAATCAAGGCAAGAGTCGTCGTAATAGTCTCGACCGTGTTTACTCAAACTTTACTCTTTTCCTGACCACGAGGTCCTAGCCCTAGTTTTACATCATGTAATACGACACGAAGTGTCCTCTACTCTACACTATCCCCTCTCTAATTAAAAGGGTGAGTCTCCGGATTCACGGACAACACTTGAAAGTGTAACAGTGTCAAGGTAACCAGTCCAATTCACAAGCAAAGGAAAGAAAACTAATACAAAAAAAAACTGTCCATAACAAATCATAGTCTCAATATCCTCTTAGTGCTCGAGCCTTCTTTAACAATTTCGGTCTCAGTTTCTTAATCCGATCTTTTTCCATGGTCCGCTTGTCCTCCAGCATTTGTACGCGATCTACAATTTGCTGTAGACTACTGATAACCCACTCTCCATAACGGTCTGGGGGTCTTCTCACTCGCACCGGTCTTCGATTCTGGAGAGTAGGCTCCGGTTCCAGTCCTTCACCTTCATGTTCACTCCCTTCCTCCTCGCCACTGAGGTCAGATGGGTCAGATTGAGTTGGTTTGCTTGTAGCATCTAGGGTATCTACAAGGGGGCCACCGTCCTTAGTGTCTGGCGCTTCCACTGAAGGATCACTTCTAACATCCCTTTCCGCCCCGCTGGGCTGGACGTCATCCGACTGACAACCACTAATCTCTGGCGTATCGGGTTGTTGGCTTGACAGTTCAGGATCACCTTCCAACAACTCACTCTCTTCTTCAACTGCACTCATTGCCACCCCAACAACTGTCCCATCTTCTTCTCCCGGCATCGACTGTGCATGTCCTTCTTCAACAGTCTCCACTGCAGGTGCAGTGCCCAAACCACCAGTAACTACTTCACCCACTGCCTTCTCCTGTTTTCTCTGGTACAACCTCAAGTTGTTGAAATGGACTACCTTGGACCTCCTAGAACGTCCTGCAACTTTTCTAACACAGTACGTAACTTCGGTGACTTGTGATACGATCTCGAACGGACCATCCCACTGTCGGTGAAACTTGCTTGCTTCACCTGGCCTTAGCTGTGGGGTGTAGCGCAGGACTAAATCTCCAGGTTGATAGACCGTGTGCTTCACTCCCTTGTCGTAAGCATCTTTCTGGCGTCGCTGAGCAACCTTCAGATTCTCCCGTACATCCCGGTATGCACCTTCTAAATCCTCCTGTAGATTAGCAGCAAATTCAGTGTACGAGCACTCACTGTCCTTAACCCCACCCATCATCACGTCCAAGGGTATCCTCATCTCTCTTCCGAACATCAGTTCAAATGGAGTGTGCCCTGTGGAGGCATGGATGCTACTCCGGTAGGCCATCATGCAATAATCCAGGTGTTCATCCCAGCTCTGAGGTTTACCTCCAACTTTAGCTTTCAACATGCTCTTAAGGGTCTTGTGTAGGTTCTCAATTTGCCCGTTGCCCTCTGGATGGTAAGCAGTTGACCGCGTTTTGTTGATCTCTAGCAAGTGGCACATCTCTTCAAAAACCTTCGACTCAAAGTTACGCCCCTGATCACTGTGGATGCTGTCGGGCACACCGAATCTGCAAATCCAGTTCCTCACAAGCACCTTTCCACAAGTTGTGGCACGTTGGTTAGGAATTGCAAACGCTTCAGCCCACTTGGTGAAACTGCACTGCACGGTTAAAATGTAGCGATTTCCTCTTCGTGTCCGAGGTAATGGTCCAACTATGTCAATGTGGATCCTTTGCATGGGATTTCCAGTGGCCAATGGCTGCAGAGGTGCTCTTGGCTTTGGTCTAGACTTGCACTTGGCACAGGTAAGGCAACCATCGCAGTACCGATGCACGTCCTTTGTCAAGCCCGGCTTCCAAAATCTCGCACTCATTTTCTTCAGGGTCTTCATTCTCCCCAAATGGGCACCTGCAGGACCATCATGAACTTCAGTAAGCGCTGGCCTAACCAGGCTTTGTGGCAAAACTATCTGTTGCTTAGTTGGAGAGGTGTCTGTAGGCGACTGAAGATAGAGCACTCCTCCCTTCAGCTGCAACAGGTCAAGTTGCGCCCTTACTGCCCGAGTGGTTCGACTCATGGGCTGAAGTTCCTCAGTCGTCGGTTTCTTCCACTCTTGTGACAACTGCGCTACCACCGGGTCAATATCAGGGTCTTCTCTTTGTGCTTGTGCCACTGCTGCAGTCGACCATATATCCCTCCCCTCACACTGCTTATGAACCGTTGGCAACCCTGCCACAGCGGCTACCTGGGGTCGGGCTGACGGAACACACGATGGGCACTCTCCATGATGACGCCTTGGTCGCCGTGACAAGGCGTCTGCATTACCATGCTGTCTCCCCGGCCGGTGCTCAATTGTATAGTCGTATTCTTGCAGGCGTTCCAGCCAGCGGGCCACTTGCCCTTGGGGCTCCTTGAAGGACATCAACCAGGTTAACGAGTGGTGGTCAGTTCGTAGGCAGAACCGCCGTCCAAGCAGATAATAACGGAAATGGTCAACATAGGTGACTAAAGCTAACATCTCCAACCGAGTAGTGCAATAATTTCTTTCATGTTCGTTCAAAGAGCGACTCCCGTATGCAATTACTCGTTCTGTCCCATCAGGTTGCAGCTGAGATAAGACTGCCCCGATTCCCAAATGTTGGCTAGCATCTGTGTCCAGTATGAATGACCCTGCACCGGCGTTAAAATCTGGATAGGCTAGGACTGGTGCACTGACTAATCGGTGTTTGAGCTCTTCAAAGGCAGATTGTTGCTCTTGTTGCCAATGAAAGGGCGTGTCCTTCCTACACAGTTTATAGAGTGGCTCCGCAATGATGGAGAATCCGGCAATAAACCGCCGATAATAACTAGCCAGACCGAGGAAGCTGTGAAGCTCTTTGACGTCCAGCGGTGTTGGCCAAGTTTCAACTGCTTTAACTTTCTCCGGATTCGTCCTTATTCCATCACCGGAAACAACATGACCCAGAAAGGTAACTTCTCTCTTCAGGAACTGACACTTGGTTGGCTTTAATTTCAAACCCGCTGCTTGTATTCTGTCAAAGACCAACCGTAGGCGGTGAAGATGTTCTTCAAATGTAGAGCCCCAGATGATAATGTCATCTAAGTACACAAGGCAATGTGTCCAAGTGAGTCCACTGAGTGCCAGATTCATCAATCTGGTGAAGCTTGCTGGCCCATTTGTCAAACCAAATGGCATAACCCTCCATTGAAATTGTCCACGATGAGTTGAAAACGCAGTTTTGGGTTTGTCCTCCTCCTTCACTGGCATCTGCCAATATCCAGAGGCCAAATCAAGGCACGAGAACCACTGAGCACCGCCCAGGGCCTCTAAGACATCATCAGTCCTAGGCAGCGAGATAGCATCTTTTTGTGTGTACTGGTTAAGTCTCCGAAAGTCAATACACATACGGTAAGTTCCATCATGTTTACGGGCCAACACAACGGGGCTACTCCAGGGACTTTGGGACTGTTCAACCCTACCATTAGCTACGAGCTCATCCAGCTGTTGGTCAATGATTTCTCTTTGGTGAGGGGGAATACGGCGCGGTGGTTGCTTAATTGGTGTACAATCACCCGTATTAATTTCATGTTCCATGAGATCAGATTTCCCTAAATCCGAACTGTTCATAGCAAAAATGGCCTCATACTCTTTCACCAGAGACGAGAATTGTTCCTTTTGACCTTCTGAAAGCCCTTCCAGGTTTTGTTGTTCACAGATTGTCCTCCACTTTTCTCCCTCTCCTTTTGTCTGCTCACTCTTCCCCACTGTGCTGTCAATGGTCGAACAGAATGCATGTGGCCGAGAGGTACTTTTCGATTCTGAGTCAACTCCAATGGGAATTATACTACCATTCACGCTGCTAATAGGGTGATATTCGGCAATAGGAACATCTGACCGTATCTTGATTGGTCTATCCGAGAAGTTGGCAACTCGAACAAGGGCCTGTCCCGCCCTTGGAACCACAAGGGAACGAGCTATGCAAATTTCCGATTTTCCCTTTAGTTCCTTTGAGCCCTCCAAGATCCCAGGGCTTCCCGTATTTTGTTCATATCCCTCTTCCAATCTAGCTCCTAGCACTTGTTCAGTCCCCGGCTCTACTTCTACTTCAGCACACAGATAAAGTCTACAAACACTAGGTGTGACCTTGCAGTATCTAATAGGAATTTCAGCATCTCCTACCCCAAAGGTTCCCGTGTCATAGTGAATTTGACATCCATACTGCTGAAAAAAGTCTGAACCAAGAATACAATCATGTGCTAGATTTGCGCAATCATGACAGGCCAGGAGCAATCCATGTTTCCTATGCGAAATCTCACTTGGGTTTCTCCTAAGACAGTCAGTTCATTGCCATTTGCTGTCGTTAATGTTCCCATCACTGGTTTAAGTTTAGAAACATATCCACTTTTCTTCCATGTGTCCTCGCTCAATACACTAACCGTAGCGCCAGTGTCCAACAATACACAAGTTAAACAATGATTCACAAGTCCAGTAATGTAAATCCCGGAATCAGATATGGCTGAAATTACACTGTCATTCGCGGTTGTATTGTAATTTACCTCACGGACATCACTGTCTGACAGGGCCACACGTACTGGTCCTACGGGGACTGTCTGGCCCTTGGCAGGCCCCGAGCTCCGTTTCCCGTTGTATTAGTCGGACAATCACGTGCAAAATGACCCTGTTTACGACAATTGTAACACACTACTTCGTTTCGGCGCCGTGGGGCTGTCACGGTTTTTGCTTCCGTTTTCATTTCCAGCTCACGAATTTTCTCATTCATGCCAAGAACTAATTCCTTGAGCTCGCGTATTTCAGATGAAATCTTCTCACTATCAGCCGAGGCACCAATCACATTAACAGGTTTCTTCTTCTCAACCGCAGGAGCTGCGCGACAAGCCTTACGAGCACTTTCCAACTGGCGAACCACACGCACAGCTTCCACGAGCGAACTCGGCTGACTCATAAAAACTCTCTCACGAATGTCATCACTAATTGCTACACCTTGAAGAAACTGGTCCCTTGCCAGTTCCACTTTAAACGAATAGGCCGCCTCTGGGTACGCATTTTCGACCAATTCCATCAAGCTATCCGCAAATCCATCGAAATCTTCATTTGGCTTTTGGCATCGTGCCCGCAACTGCAATTTGTAATCTTCTTTCGTCTTCCCCGAATCAAATCTTCGAGTCAACTGATCAGTAAATTCTTCGAACGGTAGCGATTCCGAGAGCTTGAGCAGCTCAACAGCTTTGTAGGCCGGTTGGTCCAATAATGTAAGCAAATACGCTCGACGATCCACCGGTTTGATGTGCACGAGACTTGCGTATTGCATGAACTGCGAGAGCCACGTTTTGAAATTTTGGCCCACCGAATAAACGCGTGGAGCTCTTACGTTCCTCCTAACGTCGCTTTGTTCGCTTGACGCCACCATACTCTGCTTTAGAGCTTGAGACAGGGTATTTACGAGCTGCTGCAGGTCACTGCCCCCTTCGTGTGGCTCTACTTTCGGTGATTTCTTCTTTTGTTGTTGTTTCAGCACGGGTTCTGTCGATTCAAGTTTCGGTAACCCTCCTTCGGCGCCTGCGGACATTTCATCTAGTTTCGGTAACCCGCCTTCGGCTCCTGCTGGAGTTCCATCTTCTTCCATCTTTATATCCCAGTTCGCTGCCACCAATGTAATAAATCAAGGCAAGAGTCGTCGTAATAGTCTCGACCGTGTTTACTCAAACTTTACTCTTTTCCTGACCACGAGGTCCTAGCCCTAGTTTTACATCATGTAATACGACACGAAGTGTCCTCTACTCTACACATTTGCTGAATTCGTTGTCTTGCACACATAAAAGCTAATCTGTGCAAGGCCAACAAATGTCTACACGTGCTGAGAGTATGTAGAAAAGAGCGCTACAGCCAGACAGAAATTGATTATCTCTTCTATAATATTGTTTTCCCTAACATAACCTATGGACTATCTGTTTATGGTGCCTCCGCTGTGGAAATTAATGTCCTTCGGCAATTTTTAGACAGATGCTATAAGTTACGCTTTATATCTACACAGTTAAATATCAGATCATTACTACAAAAACAAGATAAAGCGATTTTTCAAAAAGCTAAACAGCGTGTTAACCACCCTCTGAAGGTGTGCTTACCTCATGAAAAGAAGAATCTAACCTACAATCTTATACGTAAAAGCTTCCAAAGGCCCAAGATAAACACCGAACGTTATAAGAACACATTTGTAAATAGATTAATTTTTAAAACAATCTTTTATGATATTTTATGTCAGACATGTGTAACTTCTTTTTCGCATTTTTTAATCTTTTTATTCTATTGTAATTTAGCTGAGCTTTTAATCTTTCTATCCTGTAACATTGGATATGTATTTTTATCTAATGAGCAATAAAGACATTTATTATTATTATTTATCCTTTTTAATTGCTATACTTGCATTATCTTTAAAATATGAATAAAAAACAAAACCAAAGCATTTTCCTCGACTTTGCTAACCAATAAAATGCATCTTTTAGCCCTTTTGGGCCTTTTTTAACGGACCAAAATGACAGATGTCTCTACAAATTGAAATACTTCAGCTAGCGAGATCTCTACCCTTTTATACACCTGAAGTTTGAAAAAGGTACTCCTTTTGGGTGGAGCTTCCCCATATCGGCCATTCTAGGGGTACCCTTCCGGGAATTCCACCCACCTTGCAAATCGAGTCCATCTAACTTCTCCTCAGCATCTTCTTCAAATTCACCTGGTGGATCCTCATAGTTTACCTTCCCAGGCAACATAACCTCAAGTGTTTGAAGAATGTGCACTAACCGTGCTGCTATGAGATGCACAGACTGTCCAGTCTGACCAATCCTAAGCTGCAATATGGTCATCTCCCATGGTGTGTGAACACTGATTTCAGTGATTTCCCTCAGAGTAAAACTGATATCAAAATTTCTTTCCGCAGTTAAAATATCCACTGATTCATTTAATAGAACTAAACTACCGGGTAAGTGCTTTTCTTTCTGTGTCCTAGCATAAACAATGGGAAATTCAGACTTCTTTACCATTGCATTGTTTTCTGGAACATCAACGTGCACATGTGGAATTTCAACGTTCCATTTGTTTAACCAGGAATCTAGATTGTAAATTAAAGTCTCTGCCACGCTCAGGTCATTGTGAATCTTGTTTATGTTGGAACAAGCTGCATCAATTTGCTGCCCCTGTTTCTGCACAGTCTTCCCAGCTGAAGTTAGTGTACTCTATGCATCGTATAGGAGTTTTGAGTTAGGTGGTTCCTCACCACCCGAGCTGAAAAATTAAATGAAAGAGTACTTTTTTTTGGTAAAAGTAAATAAGGGATTCCCATACAAAAGTATTGATTACGTCATGAAATCGATTCGTATTTTGTGTCATGTACATGTAGAGGTTGGAATATTTCTACGCACCTCGCAAATAACCTTTCCTTCCAAAAATGTTCGATTGTATTAAAAACATTTCCACGATCAGAAAACGAGGAGAACCAATATTTATCAGTGTTAACACGGACTGATATAGCCGCGTAAAATATGGATGTAGTTTCTTTTTATAGCTCGAAGAAATCCTCATAGTATATTCGAAAATCGACGCAATTTCTTCCTTCCTTTTTCTTCCACAAAGCGAATACAACGAGTGTAGATTACCAAACGACGATAGATCCATGTTTTGGTCTTATTACAATAATAAGATGCCTTCCAAACGCCAACTTTACCCATCTTCGGAGACAAAGTGCAAAGAACCGAAAAACCAAAACAATCAGAGGTGTAAGCAGATATTTTGTACAGCGGTTTTTCAACCTTCGTATCGTCTACAAATTCCGACAATCTGTCGAACATTGCCGAAGACTCGTACATGTCACTGATTTGAACGGCAGTTTTGTGCAATTGACGTTCCTTTGCTTAGTTTTGCATCCGTTTTTGACGTTTTTGATATGGCAGATGGAAATTCATTTAGTTTAGATGAATATTCTGAGGAGGATGAAGAGGGAGAAGAACTGGATCCTCGTGTTCAGGTGAAATATAAACTAAAAGATTTACAGGGGTATTGACTGACTCAGTGACAAGCTTGATAAATTTCTGCTTCACTTTTTTTAACCCAGGACGAACTTGAAAAACTCAACGTCGCTGCGGAATCTGTCAACCATTTAGAAGCTGAACTTGATGTGAGTGTGGAATTCGTTTAATTACATCGTTGTCTGCTTCGTTTGTACCGATCTTTTTGTCGTCACGCAACGCTCCCAAATTTGTTCTTTGTCATTTATATCTTCCCCATTAGATCAGAGAGTTTGATTAGCTCTAGAAATAGAGAAAAGGCCAAATTAGTTTACAAAAGTGTACAGTATTTTTGAAGCCCTGAACCCTTGCATATTACAGTGTAGCTTAGCTGCTGATTTTCAATCAACAATGTATTTGATTTACCCTATTTATTCGAATAAGCGCCCAACCTCGAGTTAGCACCCACCTCGAATAAGTGCCCATCCTAACGGTAGAAAAGTTAATAAGCGTCCAGCCTCGAATAAGCGCCCAACCCACTCCCCCTCCCACTCAAACTTAAATAAGTGCAAGCGCCAGTGCCCACCCCCACCCCCCTCTCCCTCCCCCCCCCCCCCCCCCCCAAAAATTGAATAAGTACTAATAAAAGACTCGCCGGAGACAAAGTTTTCTTCTGAGTATTTTACAGAAACCTTGCTTTGTTGCATCTGTGCGTTTTGTTTTTACTATTTATTGGTGCAAAATAAACATACTACACATACTACACATGTTGAAAATTTAATAAGAGCCCAGCCTCAAATAAGCGCCCACTCTCGAGGTCGAAAAATTTATTAAGCGCCGAGGGCGGTTAATCAACTAAATACGGTAAGGTTAAACTATATCCCCCATAGAATGGTTCACAGTATTATTTTGTGTTTTCATAACGGTCGACAATATTTTATCAGCGACCCCTTCATTTTCTTTGTTTAAAATAATTATGGCTAACCCTGCACTTTAGGGGTGAATCATTTCTTGGAGAATAACGATTTCTAAGGGAATGAACAAACTCCTGGGTCGACTAGGTTTCTAGGTATACAGTATACAGAGGTCTGTGCTGGAGTGAGTATACAAGTTAACTTCTGTTATCTTACTAATTCAGCAATATTTTTGGTGATGATTAGGGTATACTATCCTTACTATCCTTCTTTCGTTGTTGGATGTATTGAAAAAAATGTTAAAATTTTCAGAGTGTATTGGCTAATTTCTTTTCAGTTTTTTGGCATATCACTACCCCCTACGCCCCCACTTCCCCCGTCTGTCTGTCTGTCTGTCTCTCTCTCAGGTTGGTTGAACATAATCAGACTTAATCAGACTCTATGAATTTCGTAGCCTGCGAACGGCAGACGTTTCTCCACGCTCATCGTAGCTTGTTCCAGGCTCCGAGATAATCGGGTCCGCTGAATTGAGAAAGCGCAAACACGAAAATAAAACGGGAGGAAACTGGGGAGAACAAGGGCGGCGGAGCCAGTAATCATTTCTCTATTAAAACGACCCATTCCGGTATGCCAACTCCTGGTATACCCTCTGATTAGTCAGATTTGACAGATTATATCAACACTCTCAAAGCGGGTCGTTCCTGTCACTCAGAAAGATGGCGTGCGGCGTCCACGCGCGTGAAATAGAGGAATCCACGATTACTTCTGTGTTGAACGAATGTTTACGAGATTTTCCACACATAGGAGCGCTGAAGAAGGAACAGAACACAGGCGGCCCAAACTCACGTTACGAGGGAAGGGTGTAATGTAATTTACATACCATAGGTGACGCGGCGGTGTCGCGTTACAGGCGACCGTTGAAAATATAAGAGACTTTGTAAGGGAAATAAATTACTGAGATCTGCGAACGCTAAATAACGCTAAACCTTACTTTTTCTTAAATGAAATGAATAAAAAAGACTTACCTGCAATGTATTCCACTGCGTTTTGGTGTCTGTTGTCGTTTTACTGTTTTTTGGCTTTATTGCGTAACCGCTGTTACTCCTTTCATAGAACGAAGTGAAGGCTGGTCATCACTTCGATCTGTCGGGGTCTTGGACCACTCGCAACAAGAATGCCATTTTTTTTTTGCCGAAATTCAAATCCGCTGCAAATTTTTCATCTCCAGCCTAAGAGGGAAACCTCGTCTTCCTCTGTGGAAGATCGGCTCGAAAAAAGATCCATGATTTCCTCATTAAATCGAGCCATTTGTGCCGGAAATCGAGGCACGTCTGGCTTTCGTCCAGTGCCTGTGACCACTGTTGCGCTTGCCAACTAATTTGCACTTACACGACTTTTTCACAGTACAAGAGCCTAGTTGACGTGTCATTTCCGCCCTGGCACCCGTCGTGTAAGTTCTAATTGTCATAATGCAAATTAGTTGGTAAGCGCAACAGAGGTCACAGGCACTGGACGAAAGCCAGACGTGCCTCGACGTCCGGCACTTCGTTCTATCTATGAAAGGAGTAACAGCGGTTACGCAATAAAGCCAAAAAAACAGTAAAACGATAAACAGACACCAGAACGCAGTGGATTACATTGCAGGCAGGTATTTTTTATTCATTTCATTTAAAGGGACTGGTTCACGATAATGCGCATGCGCGCCGTTTGGCTCTTCAGAATAAATTTGTTGGGTCAACACTAAATTCGAAATCGCCATTACCGGTACAATCACTGAAAATCCTTCGCTTTATTCGGACATCCGTGGCTTTGGCTGGTCTAGTTATACTTCGGTAGTGGTGATTAACGTGTGGTTGTGTCGTTTGACTGGTTACGTTTTAAGAAGACGCAAAAAATAATGTTTTGATCATGGAGGTTCAGAAGAGCATCGTGGCCGTCCGGCAAAAGGACGTTCTCAAGAGTCTTAGGAGATAGAGAAGCTTAGCCTATCGATCTGGTATGGTTCTAGGAGTAGTGTGTGGCTTACGAAAAGAATACATGACACTTGGAAAGTGGTTAAAGGCATGAGTTCGTTCAACTTTGATTTGATTTTTGACTCCGACCTGTAGTTATACCGCAACAGGCCGCGTGATCTTCACCGATCTGGTACACTTGAAATGTTCCTTGTATCTTTGCTTTACGATCGTATATGTTTAAGAATTGAGGTTTTAAAAATATATTATTGCCTGAATATTTTGTTTACAATATAGTTTCTATGTGTGCTACTCGATAATATTTGTTTTGCGGAACACTGACCCGATGTAACGCGAATGAATTTGTTCATTTGCTGATAAGCATTTGAAATTTATGCTCAATTAAGGATAATCTTTATACTCATACGTTGTGTGTTTTTGTCACCGGTCAGGCGGTATTTGTAGGTATTTCAGGGTTTAAATAAGGCGAACTGAGAGAACAGTAATAAGATGTTTGTTTACAAATTTTGTTTGCCGATCGGTGACTGCTTTGTTAGCGTGGGTACGACCTCGTAAAAATACACGTTGGTAAATGTTTGTTTCAAAGCAGGACAGGGCTGTAAATCTTATTCTTATCGGCTGCAACATATAACTGAGGAGTAGCAAAGAATAAACTTGAATTATGGGGATAAATAAAATCAAACCAAATGCCCGGAAATACTCTCGCGTCGCGAACAATTAATTTGAATTTTGTAAATTTACTTGCGTGCGTCTAACTCGCTTCCGATTGGTTGAAAAACAATCAGCTACTATCAGAACTCACACATGCGCATTACCGTGAACCAGTCCCTTTAAGAAAAAGTAAGGTTTTGCGTTATTTAGCGTTCGCAGATCTCAGTAATATAGTTTTCATACAAAGTCTCTTATATTTTCAACCGTCGCCTGTAACGTATGGTATGTAAGTTACATTACACCCTTCCCTCCTAACGTGAGTTTGGGGCGCCTGTGAACAGAAGATCTGCCTTGTGAACTTGGCGCGTGGAAAAGATGTTTTTGCAATCCTGCTCACCAGCCTCTGTCTTGCCTGATAACAAAGTGGCAATAACAGAACAGTCGCAAGAAGGAGTTATCTACGCGCTCCAGTCCAGACTCACATTACCAGGAGAGGGGCCCCGGGGGGCCCGGCCCCCCTCCCTTATTTTAGACCAAAATGAGGCCCGAAGGGCCGAAAAAAAATTTTTTTTGAGGCCGCCCCACTCTTAACTCAGGGTCTGGATGACCGCCCCGCCCTTATCTGAAGGTCTTGATCTGCCACTGTTATCTTCAGATCTCTTTAGAAGAACAAGGTGGAGTTTAAAAATCATTGCTTAAGAGCAATCTTGACTGACTCACAACGTAGTTCTCAATGTTTTAAGTAGCTTCAATTTAAGCTGCAATGCATTCTTCGAAATTTGGATCTGTGAATCACTATCCGTGAGAATTTAACATCTCGGAAAAACACTAACGAGCTGGGCCCAGCGTGACAAAACTCATCGTAGGAGACCATCACATTCACGGACAAAACAGTGACAAAGAAAATGGCTTTCGGTTATTCAGATCAAGGAGGGACTTTGGAGAAAATAAAACAACCTAAAACCCTTCTTTAGCCGCAATGAAGAACTTCACGTGTCAAAAGAGGTCAAAGAAACTGCTCTTGCAGAGGGCAAATCATCAATCATGCCGACCAGAGACAATAATGTGCGTGTCATGACCTCTCAGCATGAAACAGGCGGCAAAAATCACATAGTTTGCTCATTCAAAATGTA